AAGATATAGTAAAATTATGTCGAAGAAATCATTGACATTCTTTATTTGAAGAAATATATATATATATATATATATATATATATATATATATATATATATATATATATATATAAATATAATTTTAAGGTATACTATATTTAGGGGTAAAATGCTCACTATCACAGATAGAGCGTGTATATATATATATATATATATATATATATTTTAAATCAATTAATTTATAATATATATATATATATATATATATAAGTGAATATAGAAGTATGTAATATAAAAGTGAACATTGAATTCAACATTCACAGGCGACAGACTGTTTCATGCTCAGCGCAGTCATGTGGTCTGATTGTTGCATTTGGCATGAAACAGTCTGTCACCTCTGAGTGTTGACTTAAATGTTCACTTTTATATTGCATACTAATATTCACTCATATATATATATATATATATATATATATATATATATATATATATATATATATATATATATAAAAGACATTTTTATGTTTAACGTTCTTTTTTTTTTTTTTTTTTTATAGATACAAGTATTTAAGTAAATGCTCTGTGTCTATAAAAAAGAACGTTAAACATAAAAATGTCTTTAATAAATAAATTGTCGGACTTTGTCCATTTCTTAATATATATATATATATATATATATATATATATATATATATTAGCATGATTAACTCTAAAGTCTTGGATGAAGTAACTTGAAATAATAATTATTTCCTTTTGTGTCATTTTTGTGCTAATGTAATGTAAGTTTTTGCCTTTTGGAATGATATATATTTTGACAGAAATGATTTTAGTATACTAATTCATTTCTCTTAAAACAAGACTTTATCTTAAATATCAACAATTAGTTTAAGCAATTCTAATGCTGACAATGTTTGTGCGCAAAAAAGGACTTTAAATAACTGACGTTAAAATATAATATTAAAGCATGAATAAATCTCAGTACCGTTCAGACGATTCGTAAATTAAATAAGCCGAAATAATTTACTACTGTATGTAAATTAGGTGACATCATTGCTTATTTACATATAATATATAAAATTTATACTAAACTCCATGTTTCTTTATAAAGTAACAGATCATTATGTATTTACAATTGTTATTCGTGACATTGAAATAAACCTTTAATCATCACACGTCAATAAGATAGTGAAATAAGTTTTTATTTTTTTTATTCGAATTGGGGAAATACGAGAGAAAAAAAAACTTAGGTTACTTTTTAGTAGAAACCCGGGTGAATCTCATGCAGCTAAAAAAATTCGACAGTTATCAAGTGTAATAAATTCTAAAGTTTAATGTTAAAAAATACTGCTTATAAATGCCATTACGACAAGTAGACACCACTTACGATGTCTCCAATGTAAGTGATGTCTACTAGGAGAAGCCCATATTTAGACACACATATATCATCATGTAGGCAATTTCTGATCAGCAATATAAAAATGGCCGACAGAAATATAAGAACTGGTGTAACCAAACATATATTTTGAAGTGACCACTATAAAAACAACCATCCAAAGAATGGAATGACCTGCATAATGCGACAGTTTTCGTTAAAGATAAGCGTACACATTCAATTAACTAACGACTCGAAGTGGTTTAAAGTAGATTGAAATGATGAATAGAAATTTAAAGTTTTAGGGCTTGATAGCCGGTGATACATTAGAATAATGTTTGGTGAAGTGTACGAGTTTCACTGCATAGGAACAAAAATTGAACACGGGATTAGTATCATGGTGTATGTGTGTATGTCTGGAAAGGGTACTGGTCTGTGGCATCGAATTCTGGATAATAAATCTTATCTAGACATTTCGCTATTGTAATCATTTTGCCTGTTCGTAGAGTTCGCGACCTGATAACAACTAGAAATATACCGACAAACGATTTAGAACAAAAAGTTCTGCAATGGCGGGACTAATCAACGGACTTCAACCCCATTGAGAGACTTGAACGAAAAGGGCTGAAATTGATGTCTGATTCATGAAGCCCACAAACGCGAATGATATTTAGAAAGCTGGTAAAACCCCCTTAGAGAGCAGTAAAGAATCTAATTCTATCGATTGCCCGGAGATGTGACGTTGATTTTAAAATCCCGGTTAATGTATGACGCAGTCCTTCGTTTATTCTTCTTATTTGTATGCATGTATTTATTTAATTATTTGCTAGGTATCTTCAAATGTTTCTAGCTTTCGTTTTTTAAAATTAAAACAGGTTTTCCTGCTGTGTATCCAGTATCGCTTTTTTTAAGTATTTTTTTTTTGGTGGGGAGGGGAAGTGACGAGAAATTTGGCACGCTTATTAATAAAAATACAGATAATTGTAGAATGCTGTAGTCTTTACTCTAAATTAATATTATTTTCATCATTATAATCCTTCATTATAATCCCGTCCTGGGTATGACGATAAACTACATCCGCGTCCTGGGTAAGACAAACTACTACCAAGCGGCAAGGCCTCTGATCAGGAGGTTTTGAGGAACGTGGAACCGTCTCTTAATTGCTGATGTTCCCATTTCCACCCTGATCCGGGGTGGTAGCACCTCTTAGGGTCCAAGATATGGGCAAATAGTTAACCATCAAACACTGGTCAAAACACTATGAAAGTGTAAAAATAGGTTTTAATACTAGAAATACTTTGTAAAAAAAATATTACCAGCAATACATTTTTGAAAAACAAATATTACCAGCAATATATTTTTCGAAAAACAAATATTACCAGCAATATATTTTTCGAAAAAGTAGATTACCCGTGAAGGAAAATTCTTACCAGAAATAGATTTTTGAAGGAAAAAATATTACCAGAAATAGATTTTTGATGGAAAAATATTACCAACAATGAAAATTTTGTCGGCATTAAATAACCCATTGAGGTTGATATGCCGTAAAACAAACCAAAACAAACCAAAAAAAAACCTTCATTATCATCACTTATATGAGTAAATATGATCGTAGGGTCGCTGTACAGTAGACCACCTGACCAGCTCCCTTTATGTGTCTCGGTTGGGTACCAATCTTTGAGTCTCTGTGTAGGATCTTCCAATCCACCCATTTTCCCCCCCCGTTTGCCTTGTACGTTGTAGGATGGCAGTGGTTGTAGGATCGCTGGGCAAGAGCTCACAATCTTTCCAGTAACATTTAATTTTATATCAATAATTCTCGATAAAAATATATATATTAACGTGTATTTTAATCTGTGTATGATTCAGAGGGTACTTAAATTATTCAGATTAGTCAAAATTATGTTAACATAACAAATAAGCTTGCACATATGATGTATGTTTTGTGAATAAATGATTTTTACCATTTAAGTATAAACATAATTTTGACTACCACTGTATGTCGAAATAGTTACTATTATTAAGGCAATATAACAGTGTCTGTACGTTAGGTGACGCCATTGTATATTTATGAGCAATATAAAAAAAAACTACTACAGACACTATGTATCTTTATAAAATAACAGGTACTAATATATTTTTATTGCCATTCGCGTCATTAATATTTACTAAATGTAGCTTCGTACAAGGACAAATATATAGGAAGTTTGTGTTGCGTCAGTTTTCCTAGTTGAATAGATTTTTACCATTATTTGATCCTAAAATATGTGTTCTTGTAGTGTTCTATCTGCTGGTCAAGTACGTTCATTTCTCTGTTACACCTCTGCCAATATGACTAGGCGAAAATTCCAAAACATCGGTTTCAAGAAAAAGACGCAAAGAAGTAACAACTTAACTAAAAAAAGCTTTGAGTTAACTGTTTTCTTTTAATAAAAAAAATGGTCATATGTATTGGCTTGCGAAAGGGGTATTCTCCTAAGGAAAGAGACGTTTGAAAAAAATCCAGAGTAAAAGTTAACATTTTGGCAAGAATCGATAGTTGCACTCTCAATAAATTTCCGTCTAAGTTATTTTCCGCTTTAATAAGTGTAGAATTTTTGAGATAGAAGTTGCGGTTGAACATATCTTAAGAATACCACATTTATTATAAACACATGTTTTCAAAATAAGAACATTGCATTTACCTTGATAAAGTCCCTCAGGAGACGAAACGCGTTGGTAAAATGTTTTCCTTTTGTCTTTATTCATAATGTCTTTTTACAGATATATTTTATTTATATCTGGATTTTTACGCATATAAATTACCCCAAGAAAAAATGATTAGATGCTATTTAGATGTTTATTTGTTAGCTGATAGCAGTTTGGACTAATTTCTTTGCTAAGAAGGAAGTTCTACTCAGACAAGTTATTCCCAAGAACCGCTACTTTGCAGAACAAACTTCTACGTGGATGCTTTTCCGAACACTACAATTTTAACCGTTTCAATTTGTTATATTCCGTGCTAACAGGAATATGAATTGGACAAACACGGTGGAGAAATAGTAACAGGATTATTGTAGAAACCAGTACAACAAGCAAGGAAGTAATAGTTATGCGCACGGTCGTCGCAAGTCAGTACGATTGTGTGCGTGCTGCTGTCGGAAGGCCGTAAATTTCGAAGATACCAGATTGACTCTCTGGTTCACTGCCCTCACGGATACTTATAGGTGGTTACCACCTATAGTGCCGCCACTCATGAAGGTGGCAGGTTATTCTATCGCATCACAATTGTAGGATCAATCGTTATGTATCCATTGACTTCATTTTTTAGTTTCTCCTCCATATCATACACGTCATTCAGTAATCCTTTACCTTGAGTGGCTCTTGAGCCTTGGGTCATATGAACTATAGTAAAAAAAAATCTTGTTTTGTTTTTATCACAAAATATGATATTCCAAAATATAACGAACTTCTGAGAAAGGTAAAAGTGTACGCTGTCGAAGCGTTGTATGGGAATAAACAGCAAAGACAAAGAAATTTGGCTAAAGTACGATTTATATGATGATTAAACCTTCTCGTCTAATCTAAAAATCTTCAGTCAAAAATTTTCATGACCTTTCGATGCTTCAGCTACGAAATGGATATCGTTAGTGACTTTCTTTTTTTTTTTTTATCTCGTTTTAATTACGGGAAACACGTGGCGGCAGGAAATTGCTTTGATTGGTAGGGAAGTAGTTTTACCTGATTCATTTACTGAGTTATCGAACGGGCCAACAGCTATCTGGAGCAAACCAGAATATTGTAAGTCAAAGAGAGAGAGAGAGAGAGAGAGAGAGAGAGAGAGAGAGAGAGAGAGAGATAGTAGCCTGCAAGGAAAAAAAAGAGGTAAGCTCATTTTAAAATGGGCGACATGAAAATAAATAATAAACAAAAAGCCTTAAACTGCATTAATGTGAGTTTTAATTCGCCATTGCCATCAAACTGTAATCATTTTCCGAGTTGAATTAACAGTTACATCTTGAACTCGCATGCACAGTCCATTAGTAAGGAATAGGACCATAAAAGTATCAGATTCAAGAATATCTGGCATCTCTGCCACAGTCACTCTCCCACCGCCGTAACGTAGAGTCCCCGTACCTTTTCTATAAATATTTTCATGGCAATTGTTCTGATAAGCTCTCGTCTTTTGTATGAAGATTTAATGAATTTAAGGGCAGTAAACATGTAAGTAACGACGAAGTTTTGGAGAAAATAGAAACAAAAAGGAAACTAATATCAGGAAGACAGTTGAGATTTTTAGGGCACATAATGAGGAAGAAAGGCTTGGAAAATCTGATACTCACAGGACAGATAAAGGACAAAAGAGACAGAGGAAGACGACGCATGACATACTTGATGAGCTTGAATAAATAGATGGTGGAACAGGGCTTAGGAGAAATAGCAGAAAGATAAGGTATATTAAGAGCTACAAGGGACATAGAGTTGTGGAAAGCCATGATCATTTACGTCCTGAAGAGACACGGCACATAAAGAAGAAGACACGAAACGTCTCATCATTTTACTGTCGAAATGGATAGACGTTAAGGCAAGTTCTATGCTAACAGTTACTTTTCTCGCTAGTGCAACTCGCTTCCGGTATCATGCTTTTCAGTCAACTTTAAGTTTTAAAAAGTTTAAATGCAATGTCAAACATTATCTTCTGTCTTCTTAATTCCATTTCTTTTATTATTGCCCCTCCTTAATAAAGGAAATGCGAGTACATTCCAAAACACCGAAGACACTCTAGAAGGTCATGCATTTCATTGCCGAAAATAATAAACAGTAAATAACGAAAATATTCCCAAATAATATTTAAACAAGGGGTTGCAAATGTAGGTATACAGTAAGCATTATACCAGTACTGACATGGGACACCTCGAGGTGGTGTAATGGTTAGCATGCTTGTCTCGCTAGAACAATTACTTTCGGCCGTGTGCCACATCTAAGCTACGCTTAGAATGTTACTACCAGTACTGACATGGGTTGAGGTACGGTAAAGCAATGGGTTGCTGCTCGGATTGAGCTTAAATCGAATTCAAGTCGAGTTTATTACATTCACTTGTGTACCCTTGGCAAATGTATGAATCCATCTGTTCTTAATCCAGCTATAGGTAAATAGAAGGACAGACTAGATTTTATATGCTTGATTGGCAACCGGTCTAGGAAAAGGAAAAATTCTGCATTCGAAACTGCATGTAACCCTGGCGAAGCACAAAATATGCAGCTAAAGGAAAGGATTGTTCTCATCGGCTCGATGTAGACTCCTTTATTTAAATAGTAATTCTAGGAAAAGTTAATACTAGAATTAATTTAATTAATTCATTAAAATCATTTTCATAATTTTTTTATTATAATACATTTATCATATTTTTTTTATTTTTAATAATAATAATAATAATAATAATAGGAGATAGGACTTTTATAGGACTTCACAATACATACAGACAGAACAATCAAAGCTGATTGCCCTGACATCGTTGTTTGAGACCGCAAGCAAAAAAAAAAAAAAAAAAAAAAAAAAAAAAGCCTCCTTATTGATATAGCAGTCCGTGCAGACTGCAATGTATCTTTGAAGATATTCAAATAGCTATCAAAATACAGGAGCCTTGAAATCAAGATCTCAAAAATGTGGCACATGAGAACATCAACAATCCCTGTTGCAGTTGGAGCCCTCAGATTGATTGGAAAAGATTCCATTAGATTCACTGAAAGGGTTCCTGGGAGCCCATGCCTTAAAGAAATATATAAAAAAAATGTTCTCATGAATACAGCCCACACGTTACGAAGGGATTTTTCTATGTACAATATTTTTTTTTTTATAATTGTTCAGTTGAAAATGTCATGATGCGATTTCTGACCTTAGGTTTCTGGTTGGGACCTGGAAAGGAATGAGTATACGCCAGAAATCAAAGGAAATAAAATAATAATAATAAATGTTTTGCAGGTAAATCGGAGTGTGTGGATGACGGGGGCAAACAGCTTTAACATTTCAGGGGTTAATATGTTTATATTGTGTATTAGGTGTGTGTATATATATATATATATATATATACACCTGGGCGTGGTGTATATATATATATATATATATATATATATATTATATAGAACATATTATATATATATATATATATATATATATATATATATATATATATATATATATATATATATATATATATATATATATATATATATATATATATATATATATATATATATATATATATATATATATATATATATACGACTGAGTAGTGGTTCGATCCTCACTGGGTGCTCCATACTTCAGGCCTTGTGCCACATCTAAGCAGCGCTTAGAAAATCATAGCTGGCACTTCGACGTGGTGTAATGGTTAGCAAGCTTGTTTTGCTAGATCTGTTACTACTGAAAAGTGAGTTCGATCCTCACTGGGTGCCCCATACTTTCAGGCCTTGTGCCACATCTAAGCTATGCTTAGAAAATCGCTATATATATATATATATATATAGTCATTTCGCATCAAGCAAGGCGGGAATGTTACTAGTACGCAGGGGGCTACAGAGAGTGAAGGTGAGAGAAAAGTCTGGGTATATGAGGACCGATGAAAGGATAAAAGGTGAACGGGGTGATATGTTATTACCGATATGTTTGTGTAATCAATTCAACACCTTTGTTATTCACTTGCTGTATACCTAACACACCCTGTATAATGACACAAATATCAAACATTCTTCCAATGAATGTAAAGTTCCTTTTCAAAATTGGTGAGTGTCGCAAAGACTAAACTCAGTTAATTTAGTTTGATCTAGCGCAAAACTACAATAGTATCCAGAGGTTTTAACTCACTATACAAACATCAAAGTAGGCACTTCGACGTGGTGTAATGGTTAGCAACTTTATCTCGCTAAAATGAGTAGTGAGTTCGATCCTCGCTTGGTGCCCCACACTTTCGGCCTTGTGCCACGTCTGAGCTAATTACGTTTGGAAATTTCCTGCCTATTTTTAGATCTAATCTGTTCATTCTTTGATGTTTTTTTTTCTGAAATAGATGTTTGTTTGATTTGGTAAATTATGACGCCAAGTCTCATTGTCCCCTAACTAAAGAATCTAACACAAGACAATTGCACCAGCGGTGTACCTAGCTTTTGTGCTGCCCAGGGCGGTCGTAGAATTTGACGACCCTCTAAACAACATTCCAAAAAACCGGACAACATCTACAAAATATAAAGAAAGATAAGAATTATGGCCATTTATTTTGTTTTGATTGCAAACAAAAATTAAAAAATCAACAACAAATGCAATAGAAAAAAATTAAAAAAATCGAAAAACATATTTAAAAAGAAGCCGCAAAGAAGCTTTTTTTCGTAAATGTTTTGTATAGAATATTTATTGCATTAACAATATAGGGACTATGAAAAAAATACTCCGACAGCAACTGACTCATAGTATATCCATCAAAGTAAATGCGTTAAAGTAAATGCGTAAATGTGTTATTTAACCATAAAATGAATTTAGGTAAAAATGGCACAAGTGGAATAAGATGTTGAATGAGAGAGGGAAATGGCACAAGTGGAATGAATGAGAGAAATGACAAGCGAAATACGAGGGGAAAATGACACAAGTGAAATGAGTAGAATGATAATTACAGTGAAAATGACACAAGTGGAATGAGAGGGAAATAGTACAAAGATAATGAGAGTGGAAATGGCACAAGTGGAATGAGAGGGAAATAGTACAAGGATAATGAGAGGGGAAATGGCACAAGTGGAATGAATGAGAGAAATGGCACAAGGGGAATGAGAGAGAAGAGTATAAGGGGAATGATATTGAAAATGGCACAAGTGGAATGAGAGGGAAAAAAATGACACAACTAATTTTGCATTGTTGCTTCATCTTCTTAATTCAATTAAATGCCGCCTTACTTTCTGCTAGGGGCGAATCTCTCTCGATCTCGCCACTGCACTAGACGACCTCAACGCCTTCTATTTTGAGATCAAATAAAAGGAATTAGCGTTTACCAAATTACAATAATTTGAGCACTATGATCTTCCTACATTGACTTTTTCTGTATGTCCTTGATATATTATATATATATATATATATATATATATATATATATATATATATATATATATATATATATGAAACGTGGGTTTTTCTTATACACGCTCAAAAGGCGAGGTAACTGATCATGGCTCTATGATAAGCATCGTAGAAATTAACTTACTGCAACTATTTTGCAAAATGAGGTTACCAATTATTGTTTCATAGCATGTGCTCCTGATCACGTCATCAGTTGATCGATTTGTTTTTTACGGCTTATCAACACTTTCTGGGGGTTCTTTCAAACCGAAATATATTTCGGATTATAGGAGGTTGCTTACGGTATCTGGTATTCTCAAGCAGTCACCCATCTAAATACTAACCGCGCACAACGATACTTAACTTCGGTGATAGAACGAGGAGCAGTGTTTTTAGCTTCACTGTCTGCCATCAAGAAAATCTACTCACAACTTATACGGAGAAATTGTGATTGCAACGCCCACATCATGCTTTGCCAGAATCTCGTGGGATTTCTACAGGCGGTGTCTTGTCCAATAACACCAGGCTACCAGAATAGACATTGCGCTCAATTTCACGCCAGACTATCAAAGAAGCTATGTACAGGGTTGAGCTGAGATGATTCTAGCCTGGGGTGGATATTCGTGATTCACCCGTTAGTCGTGGTAACACTGGAAGCGAGCAACTTTGTGCAAGGTTATACCACATTATTTTCACTATTTAAATGCAGATTATTGTTATTATCTTTGTTATTGTTATAACAACGCTTAGACCCTTCTACCCTCCGGTCTTCATCAGGTGTATGCCAATCCATCTCCAATTTCTCCACACAAAATTGTCTCACGCGACAATAGCATACGTGATTCGTGTATTTGATGGCATAGTAATTGCGAGTTCAATCCCTGGGCTGGGCAGTATGTACTTGAACTTAGTGAAGACGGCGAGTAATATCTGAGCAGTACTAAAAATAAGAACTCGAGATATCCCTAAACATGAGCAGTAAAATGAGAACAGTCTACCTCTGCAGAGTAAATAAAGGTTTCAATTCGGAAATCCTTGTAAGTTACCCGGGTCGATATAGACCTGAGTAAGGCCGGAGGGCACAACGTCCGAAACTTTGTGATGGCAACAACAAAGATGAGGACAACAGTTTGCACGTAAATAGCGTAAATAATAACTCGTCTTCTCAGAAATTCAGACATAATCTATTGTCATATTCGGACACGTGGGAAAAAAAACTGTTGAATTGATGAATATATCAAAGAAAAAACTCCAAAGGGCAATGGAGCAGCCTCACACACATCAAAGAAAGGGCCGTTTTACACAAATACTCTAACCCTACCAAAGTACTGGAGTGATTATAATGAAAGATAAATATGAAATCTGTTGTTATTCATTATTCAGCACGTATTATTATTAGTCAGGACTTCTCACTTCATTACACGCCAAATATTTTTTGATCAATTCACTTTAAGTAAGGCGATAATGCCACTAAGACGCAAGGAGCTACTGGAAGTGAAAGACTTTAGAAGGAACAGGGAAGACAACTCTAAACAGGAAACAAGGGATAAACATCTACTTCCGTTCAAAAGACTGGAGAGTGGTTTCAAACGGACGATAGATAAACGTATTTATTCCATTTGATGAAAAAAGAAAAAAAACAAACAAACAAATAAATAAAATAGTAAATAAAATTTCAGGGTTTAGGTCGAGATGTTAGAAATATAGAGTTGAAGTAGACTTTAGAAGGAAACGGAAATACAATCCTAAATAGAAAAGAATGGATAAACCTCAAGTCCTGGTCAAAAGAACGGGTAGGAGTGAGAACCGGATGTCAGGTGAAACTATTTACTCCGATTGAGGAAAAAATAGAAATAAAAAAAAACAACAACAACAAAAACAAAACAAAAACAAAACAAAAAAACAAATAAATAAATAGTAAATACAATTTTAGAATTTAGGTGGAGACGTTAGTCGTATAAAGTTGAAGTCGACTTTAGAAGGAACCGGAAACCCAATTCTAAATAGGAAAAAATATAAATTTTTAAAGAAAGAAGACTGTAGATGAATACTGATTAGTTTCGCAAGGAAGAAGGTTCAATATACAAAGGTACCGTAATTATCCCATGGATAATTTGAATATTATATTATCTATTATTAATTCTTTTGACTTTCAATTATCTTAATTTCTGTCGCTTTTTTTCTCGCAATTTACTGACAGCCATTCTACGATTTTTAATAAGTAGCGCAGATAAGGAACAAGGAACAAGCCCCCGGGTTATTATTCTTTATTTTTAGTCATCATTGCTTACTAAGGTCGTAGAATAATTTATTGAAGCTACAGGAATTAATGAAAATATTACCAAACATTTAATAATAATAATTGAGAAATTAATTTAAGAAATTCAAATACTATTACATTCTCTAATATGCTGTTTAGATCACTATAATTCAGCAGAGAAGTATTTAGTATTTCTCATGTGACATGTATTTCTCATATACCAGACACAGTTAATAAAATTTCAGTAAAACCCTTTCATCATCATCAGCAACAGCATCTTCATGACCAGGCGTGATCATAGTGTCAGCTGAGTACCTGACCAGTTTACCCAGCATATCTAGGTTGAAAGCCGGACATATATTTATCCATGCGTACCATGTTTTGGGAAAGTAGATCTAGCCAGCTCCTCCAACTTGAAGGCGCGACTTGATTCCGGACACGTATCCAGGAATTCCAACGGGGTACATTCCGCCCTGGCCTTTGACTTCAGTCTAGGAACTCCACTGTCCAGAGATGCCGTGTCATCAACATTGTCGCTGTATAATTATGGAGCTCAGTTTAAATCATTGCGTCCAATGGCCGTTAACTCAAAGTACATCCGCCTCTTATCAGATCTTGTTTCTAATCCCGCCGAGTGAAACACTTTATCCAATTCAAACTGAGCAGAATTTATAGATGCGAGCGACAATGATTCACATTTCACCTGTAATTTCGTACAATGACTCTTTCTTATGGGATCTTACCCATAATAATAATAATAATGGACTATTACATAATAAATACTGCGCCTCAAGAGTAGGCAAGGAGTCAGTCAGTAGTTCAAGTCGAGTCAGTAGTTCAAGTCGAGTCAAGAGATGAGTCAGAGGCAGTTCGAAACAGAGTCGCGTTCAGACGGTTACTGCAAGACATTGGAATAGTGATACTGGTCGAGACTACAATGTTCTTAGGTTGGGAATTTTGTATATCGGTACAAGAAAGTATTGAAATATTTTACACATTACCCTGTTTTGGATGAGGTTCAGATAAGTGAGTAGCAGAACGGCTGGAAAGTGAAGAAGTTGAAGGGAGCGGCAGGTATCGACTTATCAGATGGCTGTATAAGCAAAACTAGTACAGATTTCAACATCACGTTTTTAACTGCTGAACAAAGTTTTGGACAATTTCATAAATAAGATAGACGATAACATCATGGTGGAGGCTGCACGTGTAACTGAAAAGAAGATGTGAAACTGATATTATAAGCATCTCTTCCATTAGGGATAAAAAATTAAGTTTGCTACAAGTTTTTGCTGTTTGTCTTTTTTTCGGAGAGTACACTTGAAGAAGGCAGTAGAATCGATCAACCGAATCATTGCCTTGAGATTCAGTTGTCCGAAAAAAAGTTGATTACTCGTCTATTGCTTTACGGTGGAGTAATGAATACCGGCTCGGATTGAGGAATCGGAGAGCCGAGTTCGAATTCCAGTCGAATCCATTACATTCACTTACTTACCTTGGGAAAGGTATGAATCCTTTTCTTCTCTCCCCAGCTACGGGCAAATAGCAGTACAGACCGGGTTCTATAGCCTTGGATGGCAACTGGTCTAGAAAGAAATGGCAACCTACTGCGGGAAAAAATCTGCCTCGTCAGTCATGTAGATACATGATCGCCTAAGCGTGTATCACGTATGGCAGATAATTGACTGATCTTCCATTTCACCATCAATCTTGTCAAACTATTTTCAGTAAGTATCACACTGTAATAACAATAATAATACCAAGAACATGATGCAATAGCAACAGGCAAACATCTACAGAGGTTATGCAAATATTAGTTAATCGACAGATGGTCGGAAACTATTCAAAATATAAGACTATTTCATGCAATTGAAACTAAAATTTAACTAAGTATAACACTTTGGAACAATTTCTTTAACCTAAATAACCTTGGTAATAGAGATCTGTTTCTCAAACTATCTCCCTATTGTACTAAAAGAAGTTCTAAAATTCAATGATGGCTCGAGTAACACATCTAGTTATATAGCATTTTAGGTGATTATAATAAAAGACGGTGTTTTATAAAATATGCAATGTGCGCATTTAGTTAAGTAAAATTATTTAAAAATAAAACATGGAAGATGCATAATTTTCAGCTGTGAAAAGCATTTGAATGTAGAAAAGATACACACAAGGGATTCATTTTTATTTAAATTATTACATTTATGTAAATTTGGCAGTGTATCAAATTTTGCGTAAATTGCGTTCGTATTGATTTTACTTATTATACTGCGGAGTAATCATTTTGGTTACATAACAAGTTATAAAATGCAGGGCATGAATCATTCTGTTGGTTTCTTGACCTAATTATAACAATTTCTTCATGAGAAAAGTATTCTTTTTAACACGGTTATGTATGTGGCAATTGTTCAAATGAACTCTACTCGACCTCATGAATTTAAGCGTATGACTAGATTGGCAATTAGGTCTCACAGTTTTAATATTGAAATAGCGAGATGTATCTATAAGTTCTATTTTAATAGCTTATTTTTCCGCATGTCGAACATTCTTTCGATTTCTTCCTTCTCTGTAGCTTATGACCTTTAAACAATTAAATACAACGTCAATCGTCATCTTCTGCCTTCCTGAAATCTGTTCTTTTATTGTCCTTTCTTCTCACTTACCTTCACTAAAGTCTTGCTATTTTGATTATCGGCTTGTTTGGGCGAAAGGATGAAAAAAAAAATGAAAAATATCTTTCAGATTATCTAAAATGAGCTCACTGGAAGCCTTAACTTATCAACGTTGAGTTGAAGCAAGCGAATGAGCCAATTTGAGTAAAGTACCATGCAGATTTAAATTTTTCCCACTTGTGACGAATGCAGCTATAGATTTTTTTTGCATGCTAGCATGCTAGTTAACATTCGTGTCAGTCAGCTGTTGGCTCTCACGTTTGCCAATAGAATCTTCCTGCCTAAACGTGGCAGGCAGCTATTGGCTCTCACTCTGGTCAGTACAAAATGGCCGTAAACTACATGAAAACTGCCGTAGAAGCATGAAAAAATCGATTATTTCCACTATCGATTGGAGTTGGGAAATGCAAAGTCGGTCTTGGCCTTTCCACTAACTTGGAGCATGTGCATGTAAATTTTGGTGCAAATCCGTCAAAAATTGCAGACGTGCATACGTTACACACACACACACACATATATACATCCTGCCATTATATATATATATATATATATATATATATATATATATATATATATATAAAAATATAACTAAAAATGAAAGTCCAGCAATTTTAAAATATATCTTCAGTTTCAACGTTATTTGTTTTTTCTTTAGATATACTTATTTAAGTACATACTCTGTTTATAATAAACAGTATTAATTACATGAATATCAGAGAAATTTCGTAGAAAATATGCGTTCTTCAACAGAAATCAAACTGTTGGCCTACACGGAAGCGTCATTTCATCTGACATACTATAGCACTCAGCTACAGGGAGAGTGTCTCTTTAGCATAGTCCAAATGATTGTATTTGAACATCAAATTTCACACGCTCTTTCTTGAACAATCATATCTGACCGTGGGGAAATTTGTTGTGTATCTGTAAAAGAAAAAATGAATAAAAAGTGAAGAGGTAATACTATTCTTAGCTGACGCGTTTTCTCCTCTGAGGGATTACCTTGATAAAGTCCTCAGGACAGAGGATGAAACCAGTCGGCAAAGAACAGTATTCCTCTTGGTTTTTTATTCATACATACATACATACATACATATATATATATATATATATATATATATATAATTGATCTGAGAAAGCCTTTGCATACTACTGACAGTTTTGATATTTCTGAACGAGTTTGGCTTCATGCTTAGCATCCATATGACAGTCTCGATCTGATGACTCTATTTAACAACATCACACGAATCTCCATGTTAATGTTCCGGCTTTGTAAACCAATCTACAAGTATGTTAGAAGACATTACAGAAGTACTTTAGTATCAGCAGAAAGCATTTTTGTTTCTAAAAAGAAACCTAGAAGAATAGCTGAGATTAGAACAAGAAATCATAATGGTGAAATTATGCTATAAGTTTATAAGAGACATTACAACAGAAAAAAAAAACATTGCATATAAAACGCAAGTTACCACTCTAGTTACTTTCTGCTGTACATTTAGTGTCCACGACTTTCAATTGGTCCTAAGTATCGATTTCCTTTCTATTTTCATTGCAACTACCGTCGTTTTCAGTATCCTTCTGCAAAACCAGGTATCTGTGGCCTCATGTTTCCTTTTCATCTGTGAGGAAATTGTCCGGCATCCACTGCCATATGGAAAGACTGATATTAGACTTTCCTTTGTTTCTAACTTGATTCTGAAGACTTCGTCTGGCTTTTAGAAGGTATCTTACGCTATTCCAGTGCGTCTTCAAATTTGTGTCAAATTTTCTCTTCTCCATTCCTAGATTAAATTAAAGTCAGGGTATTTATCCAAAAAGCTTTTGAAACAGGATTATCTTGTAGAAGATATGCTATGAAATCTTAGAAAACGCTTGATTCTAACAAAAGCCTTTTAACCAATTTGTGACTAACAGAAAAAAGATTTTTGTCATATCGATACCAATCAAAAACATTCTTATTCGTTTATGTGTTGTGTCCCTTCAGGATATTAGCGATCATGGTCCTCCACATTTTCTTGTCTGTTGTATCTGTTAAGTTTTTTGTTATTTCTCCCAAAGCCTGATCTACCATCCATTTACTGAAGCTCTTCAAGTATATTTGTGCTGCTTTCTTCTGTCCCTATATCTGTCCTGTGAGTATCATGTTTTCCAAGCCATCTTTCTCATTATTACGTGCCCCAGAAATTTTAACTGCATCTTCCTGATGTTAAATAAAAGTTTCTCTTTTGTTTCCGATTTCTCCAAAACCTCTTCGTTGCTCACCTTTTCGCTCCAAGGTATCCTCAGCATCTTTCTTTTGGTTCAAGTCTCTTCTTCATCTTTGAGGAGATTGTCCAGCGTTAGTTGCCATGCAGGAAGACAGATGGCGTTTATCAAAAACATTACTGATCCAATTTTTTATCCTTTATATTTACTAAGATTTTTTTTAATTATTGCAACTGCAGTGATTATAAAAAGAACCGTTGATTACAAGAAAACTATTGCCTTTCAGACATTTAATGTAGAAACTACGAAACAAGATAGGCAAGAAAACCTTAATATTGCGTGCGAGAAAGAAGACTAAAGGGAAACATAGACGTATATTAAATAAACATTGATTTTTGAAACTATTCCTTTGATAGAATATGACCGTCAATATTGGGTATTGTGGAGGCAGAAATAGAATAACGTTAAAAATTACGCTGTTTCCCCGTTTCCTTTACCATCAGTCTTGTACTTGAAAGTAAGCGTAGGCTATGATATCGACTCAAATTTTACGAAAACAAGAGGTCGTATTGGTGCGTGTGTGAATTTTGTGAGCGTCCATTCTGTGCTGTTCTATTCAAATAGAGGCATGTTTCAGTGTTAGACGAAGCTCCTCCTACAATTGAAGTTTCGCGGCAGAAAGACAAAAATACAAAAAGAGACAAATGGAGAAGGAGAAAAGAAGTAAAACAAAAGACGGACTAAAGAAGATCACTTGTTCCGTGCCGAATGAAAAGATAAAGAAAGAAGAGGCTGATAGGCGATCAGGCCATTGAGCAAGTCTTGCGTACTCACGCATCACGTTGAACAAAGCAAGATGTATGTAAACGCACACGCAAACCAGTTTGGGTTGGCTATATAAATAGAACTGGTGGAGAGCAAGAAATAGAGAGAAATACATACGTACGTACATACATATATATATATATATATATATATATATATATATATATATATATATATATATATATATATATATATATCTCTCGCTATATATATATATATATATATATATATATATATATATATATATATAATGAGAAAGGGCAGACTATGCAAAAAAGAAAGACACTGATACGCAAAGAGGGAAAGTGAGTTAGAGAAATTGAGAGTGACGGATAAATAGGGAAAGAGAGCTTGAGAAAACTTGATAGAGAGAGATGCATAGAGAGAAAAAAGAGTCAGAGAAAGCGAGGGAATTGAAGACAT